CCAATAAATTTAATGGGGAAAGAAAATAAAAATAAAAATGGAATCTGAAGAGTCACACTCTGGTCAGCCGTGGCTTTTGTTTAGTGAAAACAAACAAAACAGCAGCAGCAAAAAATCACGATAACAGCAACAACAATAGACGCTAGAGAAGACAAGCAGTGAAATGAAACCCAAGTTATGTGCACATTTATTGTTCCTTAAGAAAGGTGGAGCTCTATAATATTTCATCATTATTATTATTTTTAGCAGAGTCTGAGAGTTCATTTTGGCTATATGTAACATTCAGGCAACTGGATGTAGGGCATACCGTAGATGGTTGAGCCCTTTGCTAAGAACCTATAAGTTTATATATACTTCATACTATATATATCCCTTTTATTTTTTTATTGAAGAGAATATAGAGGGTTTTTTAAATAGAAAGGGAAGAAAATTAAACAGAAATAAGAACAAGTGCTACCAACTGGTTAGAACTATTATGAGTCTTACATAAAATATAATAATTTACCTTTTGTTTTGTGGGAAAAATGGTTTCTGTGATCAATCACTCCAAATGTATTTCTCTCTCTCTCCCTCTCTCTCTCTCTCTCTCTCTCTCTGTTTTTTCTTGGTACTGGGGATCAAGCTCAGGACCTTGTACTTGCCAAGCAGGTGCAGCACCATTGAGCTACATCCCCAGCCTTCAAATATTTTTCACTTGAGACCCTTAAGGCATATGTTAAAATATGAGAAGTTGATATTAAATTAACCATGTGCCATTATCTTATTAAATTCTCATTATGACTTCACTATGTGAGCACTCTCCTTATTACTACTGATAATACAAATATGAGGCTTTATGTCCCACAATATTATTATATCAAATACTTCTACTTATTAATGTGACTCTTGTTGCTGTATTGATGTTAACCTGTTGTACTGCAGTAATGGTGTCTATTTAACTTTGTTTAACCAAGTGTTTGTAAGTCTATTTGGCCTCCGAGCATTCATTACTTGTAGAAGCAGTGTCCTACCAAATACAGCTCTAGAAAGGCTGGTACCGCTCGCACTGTTCCTATAGACAAAGAGCCAGGAAGACAGGACAATGCTCTTTAATATTTCCCCAGCCACTCATTCTGGGACAACTGCTCCTGTCTTTGGTCTAAGAATCCTACTCACAGGTTTCCAGCTGATGGTTTGGAACAGGTAAGGCTAGGGAGTCAAACACCTGATCTCTTTGCTGTGCAGGTGCTCAGAGCACTGGAAGCCTCTGTATAAATGTGTGATATTTAGTGCATCCTGCAAAAGGAACAAGCTTAATTTAGTTGAGCCACAAGGTTCAGTGAAAAACAGCATGTTGCTGTTATTGTTTAGTCAATTAAATTGTCTTCTGCTCTTGTAGGAACTGTTCCACGTTTATTAGCAGTGAGATGGGTGCTCTGGCAGTGTAGTTGATTTCTGTGCTTCAGAATGCCTGATACTTAGCACATGTGAGGATTTGAGAACGGAGGATGGAAGACATGGTGATAAATTGCTGGGCTTTTCTAAAGACTCCGAAGTTCTAAAGTTCCTGCCAATGACAGATGGTCCGTCCTTAGTCACCACTCGTCTTCCTGACAGGACTTGATTCCCACCCTTTTTTCTAAATTCCCTTAGAGGAAGCTCAGATTCACAGGAGGTAGGATAGCCTCACTTACCATAATTACATTATGGAATTGAATCTATAGGAACAAGTAAGATGCATGGTCTTTTTACACTATTAATGTATGCATGGCTAGTGATAAAAGAGAATTATGTAGCAGGAGGAAGAAAAAACCAGATGGTCAGAGAAAATCCGTATTTCCATTCATTCTGACACTTTGATAACCAAACATACTAAGGCCCCTATTTATAATTTGTTTTAGTAGCCCATGTTTAGTATGATGTTTTAGGAAGGTTTTATATGCATGATGGTAGTAAATACTATTTTAGTACCCTCGGTGTTTTATTATGATCAGCATGTTTTTTGAAAGTTTCATTTGAAAAGCACAACTAAAAAAATGAAAAAAAAAAGCACAACTAGATAGCACTTGGGGTCACATTCCTTTAAGATCAGCTATATGAGAGGCTGAGACAGGTTGATCATAAGTTAGAGGCTGGCCTGGGTAATTTAGTGAGACACTATCTTAAAAGGACATGTTAAAAAGTGGGTGAACTGGAGTTGATGGGGATGCAAGTAGTCATAAAGCACTATCCTAGCATGCCCAAGATTCTGTATTCAATCTCTTGCACAAACAAACACTAACTAGTGTTTACCAACTTGTAAAACATTTTTTAGAATCAACATGATGAGACTAAAGAACTAAAACAATGATATGCTTGGATATGAAATGAATTCCAGTAGAAAATGAAAAGGAAATTTCAATCAAATTGCATAATTCCATTTATAGAATTTAAATGTTTACTGGTAAATTAGGAGATGTGCTTCCTAGGCAAGAAAGATGGAGAAAGGAAACAATTTTCTGAATTTGAATACTAACATAACTGGAAGTAAAAATGAAGGCTTTGGGCTGGGGATTTAGCTCAGTGGTTCTGCTGCCTGCCTCCTTGCAAGCTCAAGGTCCCAAGTTTGATACCAATACCAAAAAAAAAAAAAAAAAAAAAAAAAAAAAAAAAAA